CCCGAAATGAGGGAGGAAGTCTCGTGGACTGCATCAACATGAATATCGTATATAAACCAAACGGCTGCAGTACAAAGAGGTTCATCCGTCCTCATCTGGTGAGATCGACCAACGAATCTTTTTTTCATACACTTTCATACGAAATGAAGGTCCTCCTAACAATGCTAATTTTAAGCTTGAAAACTTTGATGGTTTTTAATTTTCCTACATAAATTCAACTCTGAAGCCTTTTTTCAAAGTCCAAGATTTCTAAACTCCCTGGAGTTAAAGTAGCTTATGAAAGCTTCAATAAATTTATTTACCCTCTTAAATCATATATATATTATATGTATTCCGGATTGTTATGGTATTATGAATTAAATTTGGGTATTTTATTTACTTAAGCGATATTTATGCATGTAGTCAACTGACAGGACTATCTCTTGTGAAGCTATATATGAGACCAGTAGAGTTTATAGCGATCTCTAAAAATCATTTTTCTTTAGATCAGACTTGAAGGCATCTTCAAAGACTTGCCAGGATTAGACACTCAGTGGACAATATTGAGGCAAATTTCTGCTTAAATAGGGTTGTACCGAAAGGATACTTAGAAGGTCTTTCCCTACTACCTAAAATTATTGTTGAGAGGCAATCCTTAATTTCACTAAAACCATCTGCTCTTTGCAATCAGAAAAGTCAAGCCAACTGATTTTAATTATGTATCAAATGAATAGAAAGTTATGCTCTTTTTTAACTTTTTATTCGCTTCAATTCTTGCAGGAAAATCTGCACAAAAGCAAGTTTGTATACACTGTTTGCTTGTCTGAAAGGCAATAAGCTCCAGGTGCATGACCTGTTCATGCGGCCGATTCTTGACGTATGCGGACAAGGGAGTGAATATGCACAGTACTATGTATTATTAGGAAATAATCGGCATGAGGAGAGGAAAATAGTCCTAGAGATAGCCCATAAAAATCACTGTCAAAGGATAAAAGAAGCAAAAGGTTCGTTGTGAGGATGAGGCTTCCTAAATAGGGCAGAATAGATGAAACAACCGTGTAATTGAGGTTCGAGGCAGGGAATACAATCCTTTTATGGTAAAGATATTTTCGAAAAGCACCTTTTTTGACCATCTCACTTAATAGGCTGCGCACTCCAAAGCAAACCTTGAACGATGCTCTGAACTTCGAAAGAAGTTAGGTAATTTCTACGAGGGGCCGTGGAAACGGTTGGCGAACCAGAACCCCGGGGGCCGAATGTCGACCCCCACTGCCGGAGAAGTAGGCAGGCTCATTTCTTCCCGACCATCTGCGAATTGGTTCCAATTATTTCGAGCCCCTCTGCAAAGACTCAACTGGCCTCCTTGGCATATCCCAGGCCTGCCATTGACCCCAGGGCATGGAAGATCCAACGCTTGGATAGGCGGCTCTCCTCCAGGAGAGTTGGGAAATAGAGAAGCGGAACAGCCACCGGATATATGAGACGAGAGATTGGTGATGGGAGCCTGCAGGAGACAATCATCCATTGTCACTATGGGATGATGATAGCGACGGTGCTGGGGGCATTGTAAACTTCCTGTCATGGCTTCACCCGGGTCGAAGTCGTCTGAAGGAGGCAGGAGGCGTCCTGAAAGTTCTCCGCCACACAGGTTGTTATCCTCCACTGAGCTCCCGGTTCCAAACATATTGGAATTTGTCAGAGATGAAAATCTTTGTGAGTTTGATACAATTAGTAAGTCGTAGATACGACTTTCAGAAGCATTATAAAACAGTTTAGATGGCAACTGGTACCGTTTTAAGTGAGCCTTTTTGATGAAGGGGCATGTACAGCTATGCTAATAGCAAAATCGTGGCGGTTATCAGGGCAAAACGTCTTTCAGCCTCACCACGACTGCATCCATCGCCCCCTTTCATAAGAATATATGTCACGAAAGAAGAAAATTTATCTGCAGATTTAAGCCATCGATAAGATATGGAGAACGATCTTACGTGAAGCTGTATTATCAAAATAATGAAGCTTCTGACTGGCTTCTGCGGGCATTCGATAATCTACAAATTGATTAAATAACTTTTGGATATTTATATGCTATGCTTTCTAAATTCACTTCTAGCCTCAACCTTTCTAGTTTCACATTTAACATCGACATGGCAGCTAGCACACTTTGCCACCAGAGCAAAATGATCCGCAACATAACTTAATTATTAATAAGGGCAAGAAAGAGATGGAAATATATGCCTAGTCAGTTTTCCTTCTTTTTTTGCCAATTTTAACCAATATATTTTTCATTTTTATAAGTAGGTTTTCGGGACTAGAAGTAGTTCACATATATGAGGTATATTCGCCCTAGTTCGTTTTAGGTCGTTTCGACCTAAGCAAGGATGATAATACCTTTTTTTGAAATTGAATGGAAACATAAGGTCTGCTCAATTCATTTTGGGTGAATTCAACTACCAGTCCACTTATGACCATAAACGAAATAGCGTAAATTCAGCTCATATTTAACCAATATATCCACAAGTAGAATTGGTACAGTTGCAATGGAATAGTTGGGCTTCGAAAGTGCTAAC